AAAAAAAAAAAAAAAAAAAAAAAAAAAAAAAAAATCTACTTTTGCAATTTGGATTAATAAGTTTATGAATGCAAATTGGAGATGCTGTTCAAAAAAAAAAAAAAGAAAAGAAAATAGAAAAGTCTTACAAAGGAAAGTCAGAGTGATAGCAGACATCTAGTTAGCTACAATAGACACCTAGAGTCCATTCAAACCTAGAGAAAACTCCACCTTGAATTTGCTCTCAGCTACACCATTCAAGAGCAAGGGGGAAATGACATTTTCAGACACACAAAGACTCAAGAGTTTGCAATGTACAAAACTTTAGTGGAAGAAAATAGGTGTACTTAAGCAAAAAGATAATTTGTCTAGGGGCATGAACTGATGAGAGGGAGGGTATACCTAAATATTGGCTATACATGTAATACTATTTTATAGTTTAAAAAGAGGCAGGAACTAAAATTCTAGATAGCAATACTGTTAAGAGTTATTCAAAGCTGGGTGCGGTGGCTCACGCCTGTAATCCCAGCACCTTGGGAGGCCGAGGCAGGAGAATCACGAGGTCAGGAATTTGAGACCAGCCTGGCCAACATGGTGAAACCCCATCTCTACTAAAAATACAAAACATTAGCTGGGCGTGGTGGCGCACGCTTGTAGTCCCAGCTACTAGGGAGGCTGAGGCAGGAGAATAGCTTGAACCCGGGAGGCGGAGCTTGCAGTAAGCCCAGATTGTGCCACTGCACTCCAGCCTGGGCGACAGAGCGAGACTGTCTCAAAAAAAAAAAAAACTTATCCAAGGGGTTCTTCTTGTTGTTCTTGTTCAGAATATAAGCACACCTTGTGATTCATATGCACAAAGAAACATATGGGAATGTTGACTGCAGTGCTATTTGGTGTGGTGAAAAATGAACAACAACTAATTGTCAAAAGAGAATGCACACATAAAATACTATCTGTTAATAAAATACTATTAAGTAAACTAAAGGAATGATGTAAATATATACATGTATCAACAGAAATCTCAAAAATATTGGTGAGGGTAAAGGAAGCTGCACAGTGAGATGTACTTTCAACATACTTAAAAAAGCCGCCGGGGCACAGTGGCTCACGCCTATAATCCCAGCACTTTGGGAAGTTGAGGTGGGCGGATCATCTGAGGTCAGGAGTTTGAGACCAGCCTAGCCAACATGGCGAAACCCCATCTCTACTAAAGATACAAAAAGTAGCTGGGCATGATGGTGTGCACCTGTAATCCCAGCTACTAGGGACGCTGAGGCAGGAGAATCACTTGAACCTGGGAAGGGGAGGTTGTAGTGAGCCGAGATTGTGCCACTGCACTCCAGCCTGGGCGACAGAGCAAGACTCTGTCTCAAAAACAAACAGAAAATTCAGGCGGGCACAGTGGCTCAGGCCTGTAATCCCAGCACTTTGGGAGGCTGAGGTGGGCGGATCACCTGAGGTCAGGAGTTCAAAACCAGCGTGGCCAACATAGTGGAATGCCATCTCTACTAAAAAATAAAAAATAAAAAAATCCAAAAACAGGTACTAAGATGACAGACCTTGCAACATATGGTGCTAGAAAAACTGGACATCCACAAGCAAAACCATACATCATATATTTTGTATATGGTGTATATACAAAAAATTACACCATATACAAAAATTAACCCAAAATGTTCTTGCCACAAAAACAAAAAATTGGGTTACTACGTGAAATGATGGATGTGTTAATTTGCTTCACTATAGTAATCTTTTTACTACCTGTATGTAGCCTCATAATATCATGTTGTATACCTTATGCCAAATTAAATCGATTTAAAAAGAAATGTAACCCAAAATGGATCAAAGACTTTACCTTTAAAAGCTAAAACGGTAACTTTGGGCGGCCAAGGCAGGTGGGTCACCTGAGGTCAGGACTTAAAGACCAGCCTGGCCAGCATGGCGAAACCCCATCTCTACTAAAAATACAAAAATTAGCCAAGCGTGGTGGCGCACGCCTGTAATCCCAGCTACTCGGGAGGCCGAGGCAGGAGAATCGGTTGAACCCCGGAGGCGGAGGTTGTGGTGAGCCGAGATCGCGCCATTGCACTCCAGCCTGGGTAACAAGAGCGAAACTCTTGTTTCAAAAAACAAAGCAAAAAACCAAACCAAAAAACTAAAACGATAAAGCTCCTAGAAGAAAACGGGAAAAACTTCATGGCATTAGATTTGGCAAGAATTTTTTAGCTATGACACTAAAAACACGGGCAACAAAATATATAAAGTGGACTACAACAAAGCCATCTTTTGTAACAAAAAAAAATTGTAATCCTACTCCCACAAAACTAATTTAAAAAAATTAAGTACAAAGTTCTCCAAAATGTACCACACCCCTGGGGATTACACTGAACTTTGTTCATTTGTTTTCTTTTAATTCGGCTTTTTTGGTTGCCCTTCACCTACTTTTTCCCAGAGCCCTCCGTTGGGGCCTTCACTTGGGCAAACAACTAACCTAGTGGAACAGCTTTGACCTAACAATTTCCTCGTACCGAAGATGATCGCTTTTCCAGACAACTTAATAAACTTTGGCTTTAATGGATGACTGGATGCAGAAAAAAATAAATAAAAATAAACCTCAGCTGCTCAGCAACGACTAAAAAAACCACCAGCGGGCAATCCCTCCCCATGGCCACTGAGCAAAATTCCACCACCTCCCCTATACTCCGCCTACTGACGGGCTCCCGGGTTCGGACAGCCCCGGGCCACTTCCGGGCCTTCCCGGAAGTCCCTCTCGCTTAGCAACGAAAGTAACCCGCAATGCGGAAGGGCGAGGGGATTGCGAGTCACCGAGTTTCCGGCGCGGCTTGAGGTACTGGGGAACCGCAGTCCCCCACCGGCCCAATCATGTTGCTGCTGGGGTCTCTCCCGTGCCCAGCGATGTTGTCAGTAAGCGGGCGGCACTCCCTTCTAATAGGTCTTTTCTTTTTTGAGATGGAGTCTCGCTCTGTCGCCCAAGCTGGAGTGCAGTGGCACGATCTCGGCTCACTACAACCTCCACCTCCCGGGTTGAAGCGATTCTCCTGCCTCAGCCTCCTGAGTAGCTGGAATTACAGACGCGAGCCACTGCGCCCGGCTAATTTTTTTTGTATTTTTAGTAGAGATGGGGCCTTGCCATGTTGGCCAGGCTGGTCTTGAACTCCTGACCTCAAGTGATCCATCCGCCTCGGCATCCCAAAGTGCTGGGATTACAGGCGAAAGACGCCGCGCCCGGCCCCCTTCCACCTTTTTTGGCGGGGAAGGGTGCTACCATTTCTTGAGCACGTATGTATCAGGCTCCATCAGGCACGTCACAATCTAACCTGATAATTACACAACCCACTCACTGATAAGGAAGCCAGGTTCGGAGGGGTTGAGGCCCCCAACCTGAGGGAGGTGACTCAGGGACACACAATTAGTCCTGCTTTGCTGGAGGACAGATATGCAGCCTAACACTCCCCCATTCAGGAGGCTGGAGAAGAAGCAGCAGCAGCTTAAACCTTAACCCAGAGTTTTTATTTTCCATAACGTCTTAGGAACTAGTACTTATATAATCTCAAGTCCCTGAGGGGCCAGAGATCCCACCATGCAAAATAGCAAATAGACCCAAGACTTGGGGAGAGGCAGTGAGTGCATCACAGATGGATGGGTACATCTGATTCCCACACGCGGGGCTCAGCTTAGTTAGTAGGAGACCTTCAGATTGAGAAAAAATGCAAGTCTTTTTTTGGCCTGTAGTATCTGGGAAGGATGGAGGGAGTTCGGGAGGCACAGAAAAGATGGTGTATGAATCCTTTCCGGCCTGAATGAGGCTGGAGTTGTGCCTCTGGACAGCTTCAAGCACTGATCAGAGTGTCAGCCCCCGCTCCTTGAACAGATGCTTTAGCGCCTCTTCCAGTTGCTGGTTTGTTCCCTGAAGCCCCTTCACCACCTGCGCTGCCCACTCGAAGTATTCCTGGACTCGATGTTCTGACCATCCTGCGTAAGAGTCGACAGAAACTTGCTAGCGTGATGTCAAGGAAAGCACTGCCTTTTCCCCACTTCCTGGCAAGCCTGGTTCAAGGCCATGAGTTCCTGATGGGATGAGCTGTCCTGAAAACTTCCCCTTGGCCCAGCTATTGTATTTTTACCGTATGAAAGAAGAGTAAATAGTGGTCCAGTAGGATTAATTTGGGAATTAAGAATGCCCAGGGTTTTTCAGGGGAACTGATCAACCTGTGTCTTCAGAAGGCGGCACTCCCCTACCCTTTCCCTTAGAGCCCATAGGAAAGCGTACCCTCTGGGGTGCAGCGATTCAGGTCCCTCAGATTGTACAGCTTGTCTGCCAGTTTCACCAGTTTGGCCCCGGGGCTACTGTGGGGCGCTTGCTCCACCTGCAGCCGCTTTCTCTCCAGCTTGGGCAGAGTCTTGTCATCTGTTACCTCCTCCACCAGGCGCCGCACCTGTGCCCCAAAGTGTAGCTCCACCTCATCCAGGGTGGTGTCTGTGTCCTCCACCGTGTCATGGAGCAGGGCCGCCTGGGGACAAGTTCCCACTTAGCCCTGAGATGTCAGCGAAAGGATGCCCATTGCTGAATGGGGCCCCTGATCCCCATCCCAGACTCCTGGCAGAGAAAGGGGAAAGTTACCTGTAACACCACAATGTCAGTGATTCCCGCCTCGTGGGTCAGGATCCGAGCCACACCTGATGGGGAGGGGCAAAGCAGGAAGTCAGGTCGGAGATAGCTCCAAGGCGGTGTGTTGTGGGTTTTGGAGAGCCAGATGTGGCCCCTCCTGGCCTCTCACTAGCTGGGTGACCTTGGTCAAGTCCCTCACCCTCTGGGTGTCAACCGACAAAGGGAACGATCATGCCTACCGCTCCAGTTGTTACGAGGCTTAAACGGTATATCGCACTAAGTTCGGGACAAAATAGGTGCTCAATGAGGTGCACGCACCCCACGTTTCCTTCCCAGTCCCCACCCCCGGTGCCGCAGCCGGTGCTCCGCGGCCGACGAGCCCACCGATGGGGTGGTTGATGTAGGGGGTCCCTTCGGGGTCCTTCCGCCGCTGCTGCCGGTGCTTGCGAGCAGCGAAATCGGCAGCCTCCAGCAGCTGGGCTGCCTCGGAGCCCATCGCGCTGATGGGGCGGGCGACGGCGGCAGCGGGGGCCAGGACGGAATGTTTACAGCGCCCTCTGGCGCCGGGGAGGCCCGGGGATCGTGGAGGCTAATTCAGCGGGCTGAGTTGGGCCTGCCCCAGATGAATTCCTCTAGAGCTGACATGCCCCGGCGCAGAGAGCAAGCGATGTGGAAAGCTGCCTTCAGCATCGCAGCCGCTAGCTCAATGTACTCTGTTGGAGGTGCAAAAAGAACATAAGCCTGGCTCTCTTGGAGCCCACCGTCTGTGAAAAAGAGGAAGACAGGAAATAAGGCAGTGGTCTCACAGTGCGCTGAATCCAGGGTGGGAAGGCTCAGGGGACTATGGGAGTGGGAAGAAAGGACAATCCACCTACCTTCAGAGTCAGAGACAGCCTCTCCCAGAAGCTCCCCCCATGAACAATCTTCAACCTGTCAAAGCTCTGAAAACTCTCCAAGTGTTCTAAAAATAGTTCTCCCTGCAGGGATGGGCCAGGTTCTGTGGGCAAGGGAGCCTCACCTTTGGACCCAGGAGACCCTAGGGCCTGACCTGAAAAATCAGAGCCTTCACTGGGAGCCCTGCCTAATTGCTTCAGACTTAGGCTCCCAGGTAGCTGTGACGTTTCTGCAGGAACTGCCTTTGTTCTCAGTGTTGCAGAAGAAATTCACATTGCCTTCTTATGCCATGAGAGCTCCTATTTCAGTCTCTAGGCACCTTCTGTGGGCCCCTGGGGTGATGAGTGTTGTCATTGCTGTTCTGGGAGCATGATGTTGTCAGGCTTGGGTAGGCACTGGAATAACATTTAATTCTGCTGGCTGGTGGCCTTGAGCCTTCCGGAGAAATTCCCTGTCTTAGGGCAGCTGAGGGGTAAGAGAGACCTGATGGTCCCTATGGAACTCCTCTGTGAGAGGGGGTTCCCTATTAGCTAAGTATACTCTAATCCGACAGGTAGCTTTTGTGTTCTGGCTGGTAGCTGGGGCAGATGAGGCCCAGGGGAAAAGCTAATAAAGGACTCACCCTTGGTTTTCAGCTAGTCTTGGTGGTTGCCATGTAGCAGAGGTTAGGGAGGGAAGCCCCACATGCTGGAAGTGAGGTCTTTGGGACCTGAAATAGAAGGGTCAGAATTCCCAGAGCTTCCGTGGCAGCCTGGAAGTTGGAGAATGGGTAGAAACATATTTGGCTCTAAATGCTTGTTTGTTCTTCATACTAATGGCTCAGCTGCTCTCTCATCCCTCATTCTGTCCTCTAGTCCTTTGAGCCTTCTCTCCTTCAGCAGTTTGGCAATGCAGGCCCCACGTTTTCCAACAGGAGATGGAAACCCAGTCCCTGTCATCTCTCTCTAAAAGCCTGTGATAGAGAAGCTTCAGACTTGTATTAATGGTGCCCGAGGGCCTTGGGGCTTTGATTTTTATTTCCTTATTGTATGCAGTCATGGCCTAGAAAGAGAGATGTTAGAGTTCCCAGGACCAGGACAGAGGTGGTGGTGAAATCTCATGGGCATCTGGAGAAGAAGGTCAGGCCCCTTGCTGACAGGCCTATCCTTGGGGCTACTGCTGCTCTTCAGCTGGGTGACCCTTGTCCAGTCAACCTCTCTCTCAGGTACAGCACTTACCCCTGTGGCCCACCTGCCTATCGTGCTATGGGCTATTCCTGGGAACTGGAACTGATGGGGATGAATGGAAGGGCGCCTGCTCTTCCGGTAGGGGCTGATCTCTTTTACTCTCCAGTAGGGGTGGAGTGGGCTGTGGAAAGATCCCTCCTGCTTATTTCTAGCCCCCCAACCTCTCTCTTCAGCTGTGGTCCACCACCCTCACTTGTGCCAGACCACCCGGGATGTCAATGGCCACTACTACCCTGGTTTCTTTTGCCCTCGTCTCTCTGATTCTCCAGAGGAAGCCTACTGCTGCCACCTGCAGGCTGCAGGGGGCTCCTGCTGCACCCGGGCTGAATTTGAGGCCCTGTACCAAGTCAACCTGTCCGCTCTTCCGCCCCCGCCCATCCTCAGGTGAGATCTCCAACCCCGGAGCCACTGGAACATCGACAGGGTGTTCCAATAACTGGGGCTCTGTTCCTAAATTATGGGGTGGGAGGCTTGTAACTTACAGACTAGTGAAGGGACAGACCGCAACAGAAAATCATGTAGATCATGATTACAATTACAAGGGAGAAGTTCAGGGGGCTGTGCAAGCGGGTAATGGGGAGCCATCCCGAATCTGCCCATGGGTGGCTCTAGGATGAGCTCCTAAATTCGTATGCAAATGTGTGTATGTAAGACTACACTTATTTGGGGATGGAGTCCCGAGCTTTCTCCGGACTCCCAGGGGTTCTGTACTCCCACAGAGCGCAGCAGCCAGAGCGCGGCCAGGGCCGGGATCCAGATACTTTTTTCTCTCCTGCAGGGGCCCAGGACAACTCCTAGTGCTGGGCCTCTACAGCCTACTGGTTGTGACCCTGATGACCGCAGACCTTGTGCACTTCTGCTGCGATCGGGGCCGGGGTCGGGGCTGGAGCCACCGCAGGCCTCCCTCTGGGTCTTCCGCCGTGAACTCCCTGCAGGTCTCCGCGGGGACAGCTTAGGCGCGCCCGGAGCTTGCCTGCACCTGCGATCCAGAGTCGAGTGCCCCGCCCCTGCCCGGGCGCGCTAACTCTTTAGCCTTGCCCCTTTCTGACTCCACCTCCGACGCAAGAGTGGGGCGGGGCAGCTCCCGGCAGCGTCCGGAGCTAGACTCGTCCCGCCCCAGAGACTGCGCCTGCGCGGGCACGGGACAACCTCTCCGCGATGACTGTGAGTGGTCCAGGGACCCCCGAGCCCCGGTCGGCCACCTCCGGGGTGCGTACCCAATCCCCGCGCCATCACCCCTTCGCACACGCCCTGACCATCCCCGGCCTCCTTCTCCCCATCCATGAGGCTCGTGCCCATCCCTCCTCTTCTCCAGGGCTCTGCCCCGAACCCCCTCCGACGTTTCCGCCCCCTTTCTCTCTACAGGCCAGCTCAGTGGAGCAGCTGCGGAAAGAGGGCAACGAGCTGTTCAAATGTGGAGACTACGAGGGCGCCCTGGGGGCCTACACTCAGGCCCTGGGTCTGGACGCGACGCCCCAGGACCAGGCCATTCTGCACCGGAACCGGGCCGCCTGCCACCTCAAGCTGGTAAGGGAGCCTGGCGCTCTTCCCCTCGCCTGCCGGGGCCCCAGTTCGCCCATCTCAGCTGATGCCTGGGCCCCAGCTGGGAATTCAAGCTCCCAGGCCATCCCTGCTTGCCAGATGTCTTTTGCACCTCAGCGTGAAGGGGGATCGGGTGACCTTGGACAGCGAGAGTACCCCTGCTGCCTGATTAGTGCCCCGAAAGGGAGATGACCATTCTTTCAGGCTCCTGTCTTTCTCTTACAGGAAGATTACGACAAAGCAGAAACAGAGGCATCCAAAGGTAGGGGAATGGTGGACCCTCGTGTGGAGCTGTAGGGCTTCTGTGGTGGGCAAGGACTCTGGGACTGCTGCACCATCACATTCTCCTCCTTTGGCCCCAGAGACACATCTGCCTTCTTTCTTTCCCACTGCCTCGGGCCTTTCCTTTTCTGCAGCTACCCTCACCTTTTCTGAGGCTGAAGCACCGAGCCCCACATTCGTCCCCCTACCTTCTTCTGGCCTTTCCTCGAGATCTTTCCCTACTGCTCTTGCCTGGAGATGGTGGCCTCATGGGTGCTGACAGCGCTCCTGTTTGTGCTCAGCCATTGAAAAGGATGGTGGGGATGTCAAAGCACTCTACCGGCGGAGCCAAGCCCTAGAGAAGCTGGGCCGCCTGGACCAGGCTGTCCTTGACCTGCAGAGATGTGTGAGCTTGGAGCCCAAGAACAAAGTTTTCCAGGAGGCCTTGCGGAACATTGGGGGCCAGATTCAGGAGAAGGTATGTGAGTGACCCAGAGAGGTGGAAGCTTGACCTGTGGTGGTGAAGGGATCTGGGCCAGGGGTACAGACACAGTTCTCCAGACAAGAGATACTGATGGCAAGTGAACATATAGAATTCTGGTTAACCTTGCCTGTGGCCAGGGAAAAGCAAATTAAGATGACAGCGTGTTACTGTTGATTTGGAGGTCTGTTTGGCAGACATTTAAAAGTTTGTATACTTTTCGAGAAGGAGAGAGGCAGACACATCAGTGGTGAGGCTGGTACAGCTCTTTTGGAGAGTACTTTAGCATATCAAATTTGAAATGAGCGTATCTTTTGATCCCATATGTTTACTTCTTGCTGTTTCTCTCATAGAAACCTTGCCCACATGCACAAGTAGACATGTGTCTGTTTATTTCAGCCTTTTTTGTAGTAAAAGCTTGGAACTTGCCTAAATGCCCAGCCATAGAGGAATGGCTGAATAAATTGGGTAATGTCCTTACTACAGACTCTTATATAGTTACTGAGAATGGGTAGATACACACATACTGAAATGGAAAGCTCTGGGACACTCGTTGAATAAACAAAGCAAAATAGGCAGGGCATGCTGTCTCATGCCTGTAATCCCAGTGCTTTGGGAGGCCAAGACGGGACGATCACTTGAGGCTAGGAGTTTTGACACCAGCCTGGGCAGCATAGTGAGACCCTGTTGCTACCAAAACTTAAAAAGTTAGCTAGGTGTGTTGGCACACCCTTGTAGTCCCAGCTACTTGTGAGGCTGAGGCAGGAGAATCCTTTGAGCCCTGGGTTTTGCAGTTACAGTGAGCTATGATCGTGTCACTGCACTCCAGCCTGGCTGACAGAGTGAGGCCCTGTCTCTTTCGAAAAAGAAAAGAAGAAAAATATATGATAACACATATAGTATTATATCATTTATGTTAATGATCCCCTGCATAGCAAAATAATGCTATATTTTTTCTGTGGGTACACTTGGGTATGTAAATACAAAGGAAAATATTTAATTTAATTTATTTATGTATTTATTTATTTATTTTTTGAAACGGAGTCTTGCTGTGTTGCCCAGACTGGAGTGCAGTGGCGTGATCTCAGCTCACTGCAACCTCTGCCTCCCAGGTTCAAGCAATTCTCCTGCCT